AGCTTTGTTACTATCACACGAGTTTAATGTATCCCAAATCTCTTTTTCCGTAAACTCCTTTTCTAACATAAGGCTCTGCTCCATATATATTCTTGAAAAATTCAGCTTAATATCCTCCACTTTCAAAGTTGTTCGGCAATTATAAGCTTCAAAGAAATGATCTCTTACACTTGTCTTGATAAGAACTGGATCTTTAATAATTTTACCTTTAAAATTGAGAGCATTAAAAGAATTCGTCCTCCTAATTGTAGCACGTGTGAAAAAATTTTGAATTCCGGTCTCCATCTTTAACCCACTTCTCTCTTGATTTTTGGAACCAGATTTGCTCCTCAATTCTGTAAAGTCTCCACAGTTCATTTCTCAACGGCCTCAACTCTGCTACACTGTCACATGCATTGGAAATTTGCTTCTGCTGAATCCTGTTTTCTAATTGGTGTATCTTCTCTTCTAAGACAGAAATTACATCGCGTGGAAAATGATTTCTTTTTCCAGACCAGCTTTTAATAGAAAATTTCGTGTTCCTTAGAATGTTCAAAATTCCAACTCCTCTCTTGTCCTTCTTGTACTCCTTGATAGACTCTACAACCTTCTCCTCAAAACCTTCCTCATTCATTAAATAATTAAACAGCCTTAAATGTCTCTTGCCCCAATTATCTCCCCCACTCTAAAAAATAATTGCATTATGATCAGAAATAGATTTAGGAAGTAGAGATTGAGTGGTAACAGGAAAAGCATATGAGAAACTAACGTCCACCAAGAACCTGTCCAATCTAACAACAGTTGGATTAACCGATTGCTGCTCCATGTAAAATTTCCCCCAATCAAAGGCATATCAATCAGCCCCGTTTGCAGAATAAAGAGCCTAAAAATTTCCATAGAATTCCTGTTTTGAGCTCACCTTCCTTTTCACCCTCTTGTAAATAAGCATTGAAGTCCCCTCCCATACAACAAGGTATACTATACCCATTTAAAAGCAAACCCAACTCCTTAAAAAAACCAGCTTTCTCTTCTTCCACAGATGGGCCATAAACGTTGATGAAGCCACACCTAAATTGATTGGATTTAATTTTTCGGAAAATGGTAACAAACCTCCTTTGAATATGGTGATCTTCTAACTCAAAAATACTATCATCCCAACAACTTAAGATACCCCTTGAAGAACCTGTTGTTGGTGAATAAACGAAACCTTGCATCTTACTCAAACCACTGCTCCTCAAAAAGGAACTTGGAATAATCTCTAGTTTTGTTTCTTGCAGAAAAAGGAACGTTAGTTTCTTCTCAGAAATTATTTTTGTACAGCTCGTTTTTCTTTTTTACCCAATCTCCTAATATTCAAGGACATAATGACTAGCTTTGGCATCATATTTAGTTCAATAATACCAAACAGTCCCCGGAGTTACTTGCCAACTCAGCTAACCCTACTCAAACCTTTCTCCAAATTCATTATTTTTTTCCAGAAAAGCCTTCTTTCCTTCCTTGAAAGATATACCCAATATCTTGCTAATTTCCAGGTAGCAATAGCTTCCTCCAACAACAAAGGAAAAGCTGAGGAGGATATTGTAGAAATGCTAACTTGATCTAAAGCATCCCTAATGAGGGATCTTTTGAATCTCCTCCTACTTGAACCATCACTATCCTCTTCTTCAGTAACAGCAGCCTCTGGAATTTCAGAATGACATCCTCTTGAGATTAAAGCACTTCCCATCTTTTTTCTCAATTCCCCCTCTGATACATCATTAAAACCCTTCACATTCGGAAGCCAAATATTCCTCTCCCTAGACATGTTGTATACTCTCTTATAACTTCTGATCAACCTTCTTCCAACCGAGGCACTCTTCATGGACAATGAGCTTACAGAATGAATTTGCGAACCACCTCTTCAGCTTATCACCTGAAAACCTTCAACGGATCCCACTGCATCTTCATTCCTTGTTGGATCCTTTAATCAACCTCTACTATTAAATCATGTTGACTTTCCGAACCTTTACCCTCTTCCCCTGATCTGCTGGAAAAATTCTGATTTATTTTTTGACTAGCATGATCGAGGCTAATAAGGTTTACTGCTAGACCATGCAAGAATTATTTTCTTTGTGGAAGATACGGGTTCACTGCTCCCCAATGACTGGGCCTAAATGCTACCTTTTGAATTCTCTTTGTTTCTAATGCCCAGCCCAGCAAACTCCCTTTTCACTACTCCCAAAGCTGGGAAAATCTGTCACCCCTTCATTAATGCCTTGACTTTCCAATCTACTTTTTGAAAAATGGTATCCTTTACCAACTCCAACAAATCCTGAAGAAAGTCCCCGATCAATCCACCTTTTGACGAGCTTCCTGAACAAGCCGAACAGGACCTGACTTGTCAGAAGAGTGTATACTGTCATCTTCCTCCGACGACGACTCTATGACAGTGACTCTTTCATCGGAATCATTCTCCGGCGTGTTGCCAAGAAAAAAATTTGAAACCGTAGAAGTCGATCTCAACTTAGTGCTCACCTTGAAAGATCTTCCATACAACCCTAAAGTTATCACTTCTGGGACGTCAAACGGACTAGCCACCCTTAACAACATTTTCACCGTCGTGAGATCTTCCCTGGTTTTTGTTGATTTCTGAATGCTATCCATTATCCCCCACCTCCCTGCTAACTTCTCCAGAAAATTTTCTTGCCAACATAACAAAGGAACACCATACAACTCAACCAGACAGAAAGCCATTGGCACTCCAGCTTCGTTCAACAAAGTTGCCATTCGGTCAAACCAGAACCATAACTCCTCTCTTTTATTCAACCATGCCTCCATATTTTCCTCAGATTTGAACATAACAACACAAGAATTCCAGACGTACCCCCAGCTCGCAATTTGAACTTCAAAACCTTCATTTGCCAGGGCTCTTTGAACCAGCTCCAAATCGAAAGATTGTTTGACAATACCCGTTAGAGATCTTTTCACCCAGGTTGAGCTTTCAGTAGGAATGTGCATCTCCCAAATATTTTTCATACCTCTCCCCTTGTCCAAACTATCATATCTATATTCCTTCTGCTCCAAATCCCTCCTCTGCGTACTGCTCGTCATCAAGGCATCCATATATGATCTGTCATCCCTTATACTTCTCGGAAACTCAGCCTTCTCACATGGCTTAGATTTTCCATCTGTAAAATTTTCCAAAACATCAAATAGTGACCGAGATGTACCTGCAACCCTTGGTCGATCCTGATATTTTGCAACTCCAACAAATACTTTCCTCCCATCTATCCACAACCTGTTTATATTTTCGACTGCATTTCTCACTCCTTTTTCATTACCAAACTGAACAAAAGCAAAAGTGGAAGATTTATACTTTGGTTTATTCGTCTCATGTGGTTTGAAGACTCTCACCACATGACCCTGATCTAGACATAGATTCCTTAACTCTCTTCTAGAGACTCTTACTTAGGTTATCAACGAATACAGTCCAACTCTCTTCTAGAGACTCTCTTACTTCACCAGACTTGTCATCACAACACCCCTTTGTGGTGAACTCCTTGGTTCCATCGTGGACAACATCTGCGGCAGATTGAGCTGGTGATGCCTCCAATAAAGATAGCTTCCCAATCCCATATTCCCCTCCTTGTGAAGGTGGCAAACCTTCAGGCCTAGATTCATTATCCACCATTTTTCTCGCAAAAAAATGTTTCCTTATTCGCCGACGAAGCCTCCAATCAGTATCTCATATGCATATCCTTACTCGGCCTCAACTTCATTTGACCCCGGCTACCTCCACCGCTCAACGGCTGCTTCCGATTACCACGAGAACCACCTTTGTCAGTTTCCTTCGCAACAGGTGGATCCCTCCATACACGGCCCTCGGCGAGGGCTTGGATACAATCACGATAAATACTCGCGGCATTTGTGTTATACTTGGTAACGATATCGGTTTCTTTAGGAACACCATATTGTGCCTAAAAAGCGTTGAGCTTCTCGTTACCACCGGTTTCCATTTTCTTGACATCAATGTCGGACCACGAATCCATGGTAACGGATCGAACGAACGATATCTGGATACCTAAGCCTTGGTGTTTGTCGGAGCACTATAGACACATGAAAACACCGTAGGAAACCGAAGCACACTGAGGATTCTTTTGGTTACAATCGATGCAAGTTTTGTTTCCCGGCTGTGATTGGAGAACCCGTAGTCGCCTCCTAGCCGCCATCTTTGAGTCAGATCTCTCGTGCGGAGCCATTAACCATAGTCTGGCCTCTCCGCTGGCTAATCCCAAAGGTGAGAAGGCATAATATAACCCCGGGAGCAATCTACCTCGGATCCGAGACGATCCAACGGCTGTCGAAGGAGATCGAAACATTCCAAGCCGAAATGATCTCGGTCGGAATCACTCAGAGACAGCGGCAAAAAAACCAGTGTTGGAAATGGTTGACCACGCGCCGGCGCTTGAAGGAGTGAACGAACCTTGTGGCTGCGCGTGAACTCCACGCGCATGGTGTTTGGTGACCGGTCTTTCCAGATCAGCCAATCGTCGCACGGAGTACCTCTTGGTGCTGGCGGTGTCGAGAGAATGGCCTCCAAAAGTCACAGGGGAAAATTAAAAAATCGACTTTCAATCTGCACCGATTGAAGGATTTTTTTGGCAAAACTATGTTCGAAATTAGAATCACAGTGACGAGATGAACTTCCCTGAGAAAAACGACGGCGAATGATGTTCGGAGTGTGGCGGCTGACGGCGGTGAACGATGATCGGCGGCGGCGGATGACGGCAGATAATCGCCTAAGAACTGGCGATAACACCAAAAACACCTAACCTTCTAGATTATTTATCAAAATTCAAAATTTGTTTTAAAATCTAAATCTATATTATTTATATTTAAGTTATCGGTTACTTTAATATCAGTAGTACTTATCTTCTCCCTCCAATTAGATGCTATGCCACTAGAAACTGCATTTTTTTATTTTCTTTTTTTTGAATTTTTTAAACTTCAGCACGACCTGTCTAACTTAATAATGCATATAGGTCTTCCTTCAGTGGTTGCTTTCCCACCAGGGTGTAAAACTTCAGACTGTCTTATCAGGTAAGTTGCATTTGAGGTTTGATTTTTTTTTTTTTAAAAAGATAAATACTAATAAAACAAATGCAACACATGAAGCACAGTTTTTTTTATACATAGAGAAAATAAATATATTTGTTTTTATGTGTACATTGGGTATTTTACTGTTCTCCGGGTATTGCATTTGAATGTCTTCTGTACTTGTTACATTTTTTGTGCTGTGCTGATATCTTTAATTGATAATAATTTACAGGTTTGAGGGAGTGCTCTCTGTTGATGCAGTTACAGATTGGTTTGCAATGGCTGTACTTAACTTTCCTCGCATCTTTTATTATACGAAGGAATCATTGGTAATGTGTATCATCTCTTTGCGTCATCATCTGTCTTTTTGTTCTTAATATATATATTTTTAAAATATTGGTAAATACAATTCTAAATCATTATTCAAATTTGATATTCATTGAAGTGTTCTTGACTAAATATGTTTTCTGATTTCTTTTTTTTGATAGGAATAGAAGGCCTCATTAAAAACCTCCCTCATAGTTGCCTCTTGTAAAGAGACAAATAGCGGAAGGAGGAAAAGAGTGCCTTAATATATTAATAATCCATAATATGTTTTCTGATTTCACTGGCAAAATAAGTTCCTATGCGGAAAAAAACAATTTTTATCTTTTTGGAGTTTAATCTGTTCTAGTGGAATGCATCAGTAAGATGAACCGTCTATTGTCTTTGTTGTTCGTTTGAGACACTTGACTTCATAGTCATAACATTAGTAACACATTGTTTGGTGTCACTTTCATGTGCCACTTTTGTTCTTAAATAAATATTGGAATGGATTCTTAATCTTGTCCATTTGAAGTCTATGAAAAGAATTATTTTGAAATTATGCATTTGTTTTGAGTTCATTACGGTCAGTGTTATACTTGGCATACTGGAACTTGATGGCCTGCCATATCTCAGGTCAACAAACTCCTTTCACTGTCAAAACAATAGTGTTTATCCTTTTCTTTTCTATTTCTCTGTGTTTGAATGAGACCGAGATTTTTGCATTTCATGTTATATTTTGCCTTTTGAGTTCTGTTTAACATTGTCTTCTTTGTCTCCTACTGCTTTTTGTTTACTATTGGATAAAATCTATGTTTTTTTTCTTTATCATAACAGGGGCCAAGGTTTCTGGCAAAAAGCAGTCCCCATAAGGTATGATTTTTCCTTCTTTTGTCTGGTTTCATTGTTCTTTATTCTCTATTTTTTTCTTCCAACTTCTTCTGGTTATTGTAATAGCTTGTGTTTTGTGACTTTAAACAGTTTATTGCTTTCTTAGTTTGTTATTTGGTGCATACCAAAGTAGTTTGGGCTTCAGTTATTTAGTAAGATCATTTGCAAATTGCAGTTTTATCTTCATAGAGGACCTAAAAATCTTGGAGAATTTTTGCAGTTCACCACATTTTCTTATTCAAATTGTTCTAGTGGTTTGTGTCTGTATGTGTAAGGTTTTTCCATTCAATACTCTTTATTGAAAAACTATCCATGTAATTCCTGTTTTACCTCTTTGCTATATCATATTAATCTTACACCTTAATTATCTGGTAGAAAGAAAATTTTCAAACAAAAAGGAAAGGATAAATATCCTAGTTCATTCTTGGATTTGATATTCTATAAGAACAAGAAGGAACCTGATAATCATGTATGTAGTGAAGCAATGCTAGAGTACTTACATATCGATAATTAAGGTGTCTTGAATAGACAAATTATACACAAGTTTCTGCCAGAGAAGGTTCTAGGTGTATGAGTTGTTCCTTTTTGTATTATGTATTCTTCCATTATGTTTTAGCTTTTATTTGAAGGCTATCTATAAGTTTTTGGTGATCCGGTAACATTAATCGGGATATCATTTCATTATTTTCTTCAGAGCCTTTTTTAGAAGTCTATTAGAATAGCATAAATTTATATGCTATAATTATTGATATATGTTACTAGTCATGTGTTATGTATATTTCACAGCCGATGTTCATGATGTGTAATGTAAGATATCGACAATGTCACTCTTATTCTTCCTCCCAACCCCCTCTTAATATAAATGTTATCAACATCTAAACATTTTGAATATTGAATACTTCCATTTTGTTAATTTGCCTTTCATTTGCATGTGTTCCTTTGTGACAATTGATTGTTCTATGTTTCTGACTTGTAGGTAAAAGTAATTTTCTTCTCAAAAACAGGGGAGCGTGCAACTCCGATAATTCGTCAAGCTGCAAAGGATTATTGGAACTATGCTACTTTTGCTTGTGTCCTATGGCGTAAAGAGGAATTTTCTGTTTGGTGGACTGCGTATGTAGTTTTGGTTTCTCTTTTGCACTTGATTTGTATATAAATTAGAGATGAAGCCTGTATACAGTTAACTATATCTTTGTTTGTGTATTTTTTAATGCAATATGTAGTGTTAGTCTTCTTTCATTTTCTATGATAGCATCTCTCTTGACAGATTTTTATAAACTAATAACAGGTTTGGAGTAGAGTCTGCCCCTGCAGTCGTGTTCTTGAAAGATCCAGGTCTAAAACCTCTTGTGTATCATGGTATGTTAATGCACGTTTATTCTATTTCTTATCAGTTTTTTATGCCAGTAGAAGTTCAATTTAATTACTTGAATCAGGTATGAAGCTTGAGCTATGAGTTCTCTTTGCAGGATCAATGAATGATTCATGGTTTTTGGATGTCTTGGAACAGAACAAACAGCAAGGTATACTTGAGCATTACTTATACTAGGAAGACGTGTATTTCGATATATAAAAACAAACATTTTGAAGAATTAAAAAATAGTTTTTTTTATAATTTTTTCATAACATGCATGCATTTATTTCTCAATAAAAAATATAAAACTGACTCCTCTTATATAAGTAAAATGAATATTCTGAATGGTATCTTAAAGATTTCTTTTAATCTTAATAGCAAGAACTCGAGACACCATTAACTCGCAGTCTGAGAAGGAGTGAAGGCATTCCGAAATCTATTTTCTATTTGTTATAATATTTAGTTTTTGTAATATCCAAGCATATTATCCTATATACATCATCTAAGGACCACAAGCCAGTAGTTTTAGATTGCACGGTGGTGTAACTGGTCCACGCTGGATTGCCGAGTAGGGGATTGCATAGTTAAATAAATTTGAGCAATAGTTTAATAGAAACTTACTTTGCAACAGTTTATAAAATTGCATGTAGTTCTATATGTTAGGAAATTAATGGGTCCATTTAAAATGATAAATGGATAGCCAAGTAGTAGATTGCACAGTTACATAAATTTGAGCAATTGTTTATATAGAAACTTACTTTGCAATAGGTTCTAAAATTGCATGTAGTTCTACATTTTAGGAAATTAATGGGTCCATTTAAAGTGCTAAATGGATGAAAGGGCTGCTTGGTTTAATTACTTAAATAGATTATGTTAAGACCATTATTCCGTTGAACTATGATGGTAAAATCAGAATATAAATGGCTGTTTTCTGCTATTACTTAGCAGATCTAATGTTTCAGATAGATATCATCTAGGAAATGATGTTCATTATAATTCTAAGCATGTAATGAAATGTTGGAGTTTTTCCATGCTTAGCATGGAATATTATATTACTGAAGTTAGTTTGTAAATGGTAAGGAAAACAAATTTAGCTATCTTTTCAGATAGACACCGGTTTACTTGGTGTGAAATTCAGAAAAAGAAGACTGATCTTAGCAGTACTTTCCAAGATTCTATTTAGCTATCTTTTAATTCTTCCCCGCCCCCTCTTAAGGGCTTTATATATTTTTCTTTTATTATTTCAGAGCTTCCTCAATTAAGGAGTTTGACTTCAGAGGGACTAGGTTGTGATGCTCGTGGCTATTCTCGTGCTGGACATGATACTTTGACCTGGTATTGTGCTATCTTAGCTGGAAGGCTGGGTCCAGAACTTGATAACATGCGAGAAGTAAGCTTCTTTGCACTCATGTTGCATCATCTGCCTCAGCATTTTTTCAACTTCTTTATTACAGTTCTAACTTCGTAGAATTGAGTTTTTCTGTATTTAATTTATACATGTTTTCTTCCTGTGGAAGGAAATAAATCAACTTTGTAGGATATGATATGACATCATTTTTCTTAGAAAATAGGATTAGCTGTTCGTCTTTCATTTATTCTATATATTCAAGTGACACTCTGGTTATTGTTACTCAATTGGGTTGTGTATCTATTTTCAATGTAATACAATGATATATAATCGTATTTAGCATTTCAGAGGAGAATAATATGATGACCAGCTTCTCTTTGATTTTAGGAAATGGGGTTGAACTAATTTAGATTATAGACCATACGCAGGGTTCAAGACACATTATCAAAATCTAGCGAGTTGAATGCAGCTACAGCAGATGAGCACTCTATAACAGCTTCTGTTGCTCTAAAAAGCAAGCGATTGACATTAAGCTGGCTTGATGGGGAAATGCAAAAGGTGTGTTTTTATTATTATTACTATTTTCAAAAAAGAATCCCTGAGAACTTAAAAGGGCTTATAATAAGTTCTAAATTTAGATGGCAATCCTTGTGATGGCTGACCCAAGCCTGGGTTCAAATACAGTTATTTGTATCAAAATTTGAAAGCAAGCCTGGAAAAGCTGAAACTATATTAATTATTAGAGATAGCCAACCTTTCTTTTACCAAAGCTTTAGACAATGAGTTATCGAACTGACATTGTAACTCATATCACTCTCCCTAATTTACATGAGCAAGCCCATTGGGGTTTGCAATTGATACAAGCTTAAACCATCACTTTATTTTGCTGGAATTAATTCTTAACATGAAAATGGATGCCAGATTTCAAAAGTTCGACTGGTTGGCCATGTGGGCTCTCATACCATGATAGTTAGTCATTATATCTTAGAATGTCCACATCAGTATTTTCTCTCCTAAGCATTAAGTATTTTTCTTTTGTGCAGACTATTATTCTCATTTTATATATTTCTAACCTCTAATTTGTTTGTGTTATCCAGAACTATTGTTTTTTCTACCTTAATTCTGAAAGTAGTGTTGAAACATGTGGACCAAGGAGAGTTCCAACTGATGTCCCCCGGTTATTCATTATCCGCTACGAAAGGAATGCTACTGAAGATACTTTTAAGGCTGAGAATAAAGCAAAAAGCATATGGGAATTCCACCAACAAGAAGTTGATCCTGCTGCACAGCTTTCAGTAACTTACAATGGTTCAGCTGAAGTTTCCGAGGTATAAGCATTATCTCATGTTTATCTACGGTGTCAGATGCTTTCATCCTTCAGTTGTAAGAGATGAGAGATATTCGAACCCTATGAAAGCCAATATAGCTATTTCCTAATTGTTCTTCAATGTTGTTTGCCACATTTGCACAGATCATCAGGTGGATATCAAATATAATTAAGGATGGTGATTCCAGGAAACTCCCATTCTATGTAAGCACCATACTGTTTCTTTGAGAAAGCTTTATATTTGTGCATATCCTTCGTTTCATTTCTTTTATGTCAACTCTTATTTCCATTTCTTTGTATGAACTTATGGTTTTGGGCAAAATCTACCCTATAGGTAACCTTTACATTATTTTAGTAATCAATGTTTCTCGGGCCATTCAGAAAATTTCAGCAAGTTATATTTCCTATAACAAATCTGTTCGTGAAATGTTTTAGAGAGACAATTTGCTTTCCCAGCATACAGTTGCGCTATCAATCGCCTTTGAAACTTTGAAGTTACCACTTGAGCACTAAGATTAATTCCATTGCAGAGGGTGAAAACACCAGAGCTAGTTCCTGAGGATGAAGAGCCTTTCTGGTCAAGGGCTCCACAAGGAATAATTTCCAAAAGCATGGGAGCTAAGCAAAAAGTCCAAAGCATTATAATCCACATATATGATTATCTTGGTGATCCGAGGATTGGTCCGGCATTGCTTCTGGGATCCTTGATGTCCTATGGTACCATTTGGTTGATGAAGAATCAACAGAATCATAAGGTTAAGTCAAGTCGACCAAGCCAAGCAGAGAACAATGTAAGTGATATTTAAGAATGCATCTCTTTTACAGTCTTGAAGTAATGCTGGCTGTTTCATGCCCCTAACTGGAATCCATAATAATGACCCTTAACATATATGTTACCTAGTCGGATACACATCAATCTGATGCGGTCTCAAATTTTCATGTTTGCTTATCATACCCCAAAGCATCGAGTAAACTGATTTCTAAAAATCATAGTACCGACTACATTTCATTTTTATAAGGTCTTCATTAAATTTTTGCTGATTAGTTCTACTTTGTTGATCCAAATACATGATTGTTTAGAAAAGAGAATAGGAAGATGTTTAGTTCATTGTATATTTTTCTTTTAGCAGATAAAGTATCCCTTTTCTTGTAACTATATCTTCCCTATATGCTTTTTCAGGATAAATTGAGACCGGTAGAGAGACGCCGCCGTGAAAGAAATGTACCAAAACACAATCTACCTCCTTCAGTTACTGATTTCGAACCAAGAGATTCATACCAGATGCCATTGTCGGACTCGGATTAAGTAGCTTCAGAAAAAATGCAGCTTATAAGTTAAAAAAACATGCAATAGAACAGCCATCAATAATAGAGATTGTTGAGCTGTCATACCAATCTAGTTTTATACTTGATTAAATGTCCATGCATTGACCACTGGTAGCCATTGCACCTTGAAACTGTTTTGGGTTATATATATATTGTGATGAGAAAGTAAATTAGGGTTCATATGTTTCAAATATTTTTGACTTTCGAAAACTGGACTTCTGCTTGTTTGAAAGATAATACTTGGCCAAAAAAAATCTGAATCTGGTCAAATATCGAGGTTTCTACTAATATTGTCTCATGCAAATCGAAAAATTTAAAATACAACTTAATATAAGGTTATAAAAAAAATCGATTGCAATTGAAGATCTCATTAAAACCGTAACTTTTTAACATGGACAAGGTAGTGTTTTATGCTGAAATCGGAAATGTTATCTTCTTCGTAATACTTTTTATTGTAATTTAAAATGTTATAAATTTATCTATCTTTTAAACTGAATATGATAACATTTTAAATTAAAATCTGTATTAAATAAATTAATTTATATAAAACAGTTCAACTCTTAAAAGGCTGGTGTGGTATCTAAAGTTTGTACCGTACACATGACTTAAAGGTAAGCTAAGTGAATTTATTTCCGCGTATACCTTTCCAAATGCTTCCCATTTTGTTGGCAATTCGCACGCCTTTTTTTTTTTGAGAATTTTATGGGTACGGTACGATAAAATGCGGTTGAAAGGACAGACAATCGCTATCCATATTTATGTGGCAGAATGATTAAGAAAATGTTATTGGGAAAAAGAATTTTCAAAATAATTCAACTCGGGATTATTTCTTTATTTAGGGTGAATTTTACAATAATCATATAAAGACGTCAGGTGTTCCACGCGTCTTCAGAAATTCCTGAGATTGTATGATATTTTCAAGTCAAATTTGAAGACCTCACGACTTCATGGCGTGTTCATACCAATGAAGAAGACTCCAAGAGAGCACGATGTCTTCAGGCCAGTGGAGAAGGCTCCGAGACTGCATGGCGTCTTCCCAACGCCCTCTGCATGCATGGCACTGATTCTGAAGCCAAGGTGAAGGTCGGTTAAACAATTCATTCCCTATGCAACTTATTCTTCTTCTTTCCCATGCAACATTCTCGTTTAATAAAAAAGTTCAATATTTTCAGCTATATATGTTTATGAGTTGGGGTAGAACAAACTGATTGAAACACACAAAAAAGAGCAGATTGAGAAGAGAGCAATTAGAAGAGGGAGCATCCAAGAAAAGTATTTCAGAAAATTTTGTTCAAAATTTTCTTTCACTATTTTGAGTAAGTATTATTCAAAAAACTTATATAAAATTTCTCAGCTTTATCTTGTATTATTTAATTTAAAAATATTATTTTTAATATGTTGTGTTCTTTTGCATGTAAAGATTGAGTAAGAAGTTTTGAAATATTTTTTTTTAAATCAAGTTGTCGGAAGAAACTCTTAAGTAAGTGTGAAAATATTTTATTTAAAGTATTTTATGATTTATTGTTATGTAAATATCAGTTTAATAATATTCTTAGTTACATTTTCCTTACGAATCATTATTATAATTTTAACAGTATTGATTTAGTATTTGTAGTAGAAATATTAAAATAATTAGATCATTAATAGTTATAAAAAATATTGTTAATAAATTTTATCATAAGTCAGTTCACATGACGATGAACATATTTAAAAAATGACGAACAATTTGAAATTGAAGAATAACTTTTTAATAGTATCTATTATAATAAATAATATTTTTAGTAATTATTTTATTTTAAGTTTAATCATAACTTTGATTTAATATATATAACATTTTTAGTTACATTTTACCTATGAATCATTATTATAATTTTAACAGTATTGATTTAGTATTTGTAATAGAAATGTTAAAAAATATTATTAATAAATTTAATCATAACTTTAATAGTATTTATTTTTAGTAATAACTTTAATAGTATTTATTATAGTTAATAATATTTTTATTAATCATAAATTTAACAGTATTTGTAGTACAAATGTTAAAAAATATTATTAAATAATAAATTTAATAGTATTTATTGTATTAATAATATTTTTAGTAATTATTTTATTTTTATTTTAATCATAAATTTAATTTAATATATAAAATATGTCACAAATTTTCTTATTTATTTATTTTATTTTTTATTTATTCTGAATATATATTTTTTATATGTAGAGAAAATGAGCAATAACTTTTTCATAATTGTCCATTATAATGGACAGATTATGAAAAATGAGGTCGGAGTTATTTTTCAGTCTAAAAGACATATAAATATAATGTTTAAAAGGGACATCACATTTGCATAAATGAAGGAGAGGATAGAAAGAAAAATCTGAGCTACAATTGATGGTTTGAGGTACACGTTTATGATATGTCTCAATCCAGTCAAGTATGCTGCAGTACCACTTGAAGAAGATGATGATATTACAACTATGATTGAATTACATGACTCAACAAATATTCCAATTATTGAGTTATTTGTTGAGGTGTGTAACATATTTGATGTTCCTGGGTCATCAAGAAATGTGGTTGGAACTTCATCTCAAATGACTTTCGAAAGTGAGTTTGAGAACCCGATATATAGGTCGATAAACAATTTTGTGACGATGTTGGAAAGTGCAAATGAAGTCGTTGGAACATCTGCAACAGCAGAGTATGGGGCAAGAAGATACATCATCCGCAATCGACTATTGATGTTGGCGCTAAAAACCACTGAGGAGAAATACATTATGATTCTAGCGAAGATGAAGAAACTGGGGAACCCGTTTTGGCTGATGATGGTGATATTTTCGGTGGTGATAAACTTGATATGATCATTGATGAATATCCGACACTGTATCAACCTACCCCTCACATGTACGAGATAAATTATGAGGCGATGAGGGCAACTGAATTCCCAGAGATGCCACATGACTGAATCATCCGAAAATTCTAGTGAGTTATCAGTTGGGAAGCAATTTAGAGGAAAAAAATAAGCTACATTGGCAATTAAAGAGTATTGTATAAAAGGCCTATAGATTGCAAGGTTGTAGAGTCCATCCAGAAAACTATATATGCGAAGTGTGTTAAATATGAACCCGAGTGTAAGTGACTGATCAGAGTGTCCAAAATGTAGAGGCAAGAAGTTTGGGTCATCACAAAGTCCAATGCTCCACACACATGTTTGCGAAACTCTATCGAACAAGACCACCGATAATTAGACTCCGATGTAATATGTCAATATGTGAAGGAGTTGGTTGAAAAAAATCCATGGATCCCTTGTCCAGTGTTAGCTACATCTATTAGAGACCAGTTCAGATAAAATGTAAAATACATACCGGTTTGGCATGCAAAAGAAAAGGCAAAGAGGTTGATATATGGCGATTGGGATACACCATACAATGAGCTACCTGATTTGTTACAAGCTATGAAACAATTCATACCAGGAACCATAGTGAAGTCTCAAACCATGCATGCATACAACCTAGAAGGTAAACTTCTTCAAGGGAAGAGAATATTCCATAGACTCTTTTGGGCATTCAAGTCATGCATAGAATGATTTCCATTTTACAAACGTATGGTCCAAGTAGATGGTACGTTGTTGTACGGTCAATATAAACATATATTATTGTTAGCAGTTTCACAATATGGTCAACGAAATATATTACCGATTGCATTTGTCATTATTGAAGGAGAGACGACAAAGGCTTGAGATTTCTTTTTGACTAATCTACGTAAGTACGTCGTCCGATAAGATGGAGTTTGCTTGATATTTGATCGAGGAAAAAAATGTTTTGGCAGCAATTGAACGATTAGGAAGTCATTGGACACCTCCGTACACATATCCCGCATATTGTATCTGCCATATTGGTAAGAATTGTATTGAGAAGTTTTATAACGACCGTATTCATAGTGAGATAGTCAGCATGAGTACGTTTTATTTTCAACATGTGTATCAATTTATGTGTTTTTTTTAATTGACGTTAACACAATATATATTATGAAACAAGATATGAACTACGCTAACCAAATTTTGATAAGAGATTATAAAATTTGAAGGTCACAGATGAGCGAGTTTGGAAGTGGGCTTTGAAAATCGAGTGGGAAAAATGGTCACAAGCATACGATGGTGGTCGACGATACGAACACATGATAACAAACCTTGATGAGGCCATTAATTAAGTACTAAAAGGTACATGTCATCTCCCAAAAATGACTGTGGTGAAAGAGATGTACTTTAAGTTGGCTAAAGTTTGGTCTGATAAAGGGAAAGAGATTGAGTGTCTGATAAATTGAGGTAAAATCTGGACTGAGACAGCGGTGGAAGCAACGAAAGCAAATGAGTGATTGGCAAGCTAAATGTTTGTTCATGACTTCGATTGAATTGGACATACTTTTGTTGTCATTGCATGAATACGTCGCAACGAATGAGGAGAACGAGAAACATTTAGATTTAATTTACATCAAAGATGGTGTGATTGTGGTTGCTTTCAGGCATGGAGATATTCATGTACTCATACAGTCACTGCATGTATGCATACTGGAACAAACACATACACTTATGTTGATGAGTGCTTTCTCTTGCAGAAGATATTAAATGTCTAAAACCATGAGTTCAGACAGATCCCAAATGAATCATATAGGTTGAAAAAGGATCATGATAAATGATTGTAAAATCCAATTCTTAATAGAAATCCAATGGGTTGCTTGAGTCCACTCATATTCATACCAGTATGAATATCCATATAACACCCCAAACCTGTATTCAACCCGAATACGAGTCCAAGGTGTCACATTGACTTTTTAAAACATTTACTTGTATAAAATAGTGAATAATTTAAAATTTTTATAACATATAACTTATTCAAAACATTTACAGAACTATTCAGAGCTTATACAATATATTATTTTGAATACATGCCAACTAGAACTTTATATATTAAAATAAATATTATTCACCTTTCTTATGATCTGAAATTCGGTAAGGAGAACTGACCTGTCTTACTCCATATTGCTCTTTACTCTTCTCACTTCTGCAACCTACGTGTGAAACAATCACACGCTAAGTTTATGACTTAGTGAGGCATAAAAAAACATCTTATGAAATTCATGTCCACTAATCATGCATG